AATAACACACAGGGCATGGTTGACATGGATAACCGAGCCAATGATAAAACCAAATCTTAATTTTAACCAACAGCCTGAATTTCTTCTTCTACCACGGATACTATTAGCATAGCAAAACTAGCTATATTTGACATTCAATGCTAATTTTCGCCCCCTACCCTCTGGTGTTCCTGTTTAATCAACAGTGTAATGACAGACAGATTAAAAAAACAAAAATCATCCTGAAGCTAATCTGTAATTGACCATGCGTGACCTTAGCTCCTGCCAACTGTACTCCTTGCCCGTGCCCGCCTCCCACTGGCCACCACTTCAACCTGTTCAAGTTGTTCCCTGGCCAGAATTACCTATCTCCCCACCTCGTTTTTACCTACTGAAGTTCCAGGCTCAAATCAAATACTGTCTCCTCCATTAAGGTTAATACTGATATTCCACAGACAGGTTCTCTCTCCCTGCCTTCAACGCCCATCATATGTGGTCTGTAAGTCACTCTTACGGCACTCATTCATATGCCTCCCACTGCAAGTATCTGAGCCCTGTGTCCCCTCCGAAGGTAAGCACCATGAAGACAAGACCAATCTTCCTACTTTTCAAGGTGCCTACCAGGAAGCAGGAACTCAACAGAAAAGTGAAATTGTTACTAAAACAAATTTAATTTTTCATTTATTAAAATTTTAAAGATGGTTTATTAAAAATTGGGAGCCCTATGGTGCAGTAGTTAAAGCACTGGACTGCTAACCAAAAGGTCATCGGTTCGAAACTACCAGCAGCTCCGCAGGAGAAAGATGTGGCAGCCTGCTTCCGTAGAGATTTATAGTCTTAGAAACCCTATGGGGTCGCTATGAGTCAGAATCAACTCGATGGCAGCGGGTGTGGTTTCTGTTATTAAAAATTACCTATTTAGAGAGCTACTGAAGAAGCTAAGCATGAAGCATCTATTCTTTCTGCAAGATGCAGAATCGTTTTATTACTGATCCATCACAAATTACTTCACTCTTAGCTAACCGTGGCCACTTAAAGGGATATGTTATAAATATGTAGGTACTGGAGCACAAGAGACTCAGTACACAATATTTAATACAGAGGCTGAAATTAATACTCACGTTTCAGAGCAATGATTACAGAAGCAACTGGCCAAGATATTTCATTTGGATGACGGACTAAATAGAAGGCTTGGAGGCTGTAGATAAATGGCACCCACACTAAATCTCCAAAAGCCAGCATGAATCCAAATCCATCGTGGATAATGTCCATGGTTGTCAATACCGCTTCCTATAAGGATATAGGGAGGGAAAAGAAAAAAAATGTTTGGGGGAAAAACATTTCTATGTTTAAAGTATTCAAATGAAGT